CGTGCCCTTCCCAGCTCAGAGCACACTTCACTCTGAGCAGTGAGGTCCAGCAGACTGTGACACCGGATAGAGAGGTCTTTCTTCCCAAGTTGTTAACACTCAATCTAAGCTTCATACATCTCCTGTGGCCTCCTTATATTATTGGGGAGATTAAATGATGCAGAACATGTAAATGCCCAATATATAGTGAAGATTCAAAAGATGCTACCTATAATTAGTATAGGTATTTGCCTATATAAAAATCAGTATGCAAGATTTTCTAATAGCTAAAGTTCCAATGACATGGTCTCCGGTGCTCAGTTATTATTCAGCTGCCAGGTGTGCAGCGACAAGGACATAGATGGAGGAGATGCTTATGAGCTTGCTTAGGATTTGATGTGCATGCTGCACAATTTCATGTTCCCAAAGAAAGACCCATGCAGCGCAGTGACATCTAAGCTTTAATGCTTTCAAGCATTTAAAAGACACCGAAGATCTGTGTCTAGGAACGAAGAAGAAATTTAAGGTCTGCACCACCGCAGTGTATGAGCCGAGAGTCCCTCGTTACCAGTCTCTCCATCAGAGCCACTGGCTTCTATCAGCTGTCATTTAAAAAATAATTTAAATGAATATGAACTGTTCAATTTTAATCAGATGTTTGCAGAACTATAACATTTGACCAGAATCAATATCCTGCTTTTCTTGATTAAAAGGTATCTAGATTTTTTTCATGCTTAGCATTGTTTCAGTGGTAAGACAAGTGTTTGGGTAGCTTAAAAGTATTACGTGGACTTAAAGTGCCTGCACAGCTTTTCTTTTTCTCAGTGGTAACCAGCTTCCTTCAACCACGTGAGACCCCCGACATGCCAGGCATAGTTTGAGGTATTAGGGATACCTGAGTGAGGGGGGGAAAAGTCAAAGTTAAATCTTTTTCTATATGATTGGCTGTTTCCATCATTTCTTTTAGGAATCACAAGACCATATTCTGTTGTCTAGATATTTTATAGTTTTGCTTTTTATATGGAAAGCATTAGCCTGTTTGGAATTGGTTGGAGGAGGAGGATTTAGATCTATAACTTATTCTTACTGTGAGCAGATCATCTGTGACCCAGCCACGGTTTGGAAACAGCCCACCTTCATTGATCAGCAAAGGCACTAGGCTGATTCGCCTCATGAGTTTATTTTCCATTTGTATTGTAGGAAATTTGCTGTATCAGCAAAAATCCCTGAAACCAAGTGGTGTCAGAAGTGTTGTGTTGGTAAGTACTTTGTCCAATCACCTGTAGACTTCCTGTTTTAAAAATTGGGTGAGAAAATTTTACCCTTGCTTTTGTTTTGTGACTTGCTTGAGCTGGTAAAAAAGTGCCCCGGGGCATACTGTCACTACGAGTTTTTTCACCTCCTTGGTCACTCTAGCTCAGCGGGTCGCGACCCCTTTGGGGGTCCAACGACCCTTTCACAGGGGTCCCCAATTCATCACAGTAGTAAAATTACAGTTATGCAGTAGCAACGAAAATAATTTGATGGTTGGGGGGTCCCCCCACCATGAGGAACTGTCTGAAAGGGTCGCGGCATTAGGAAGGTTGAGGACCACTACCTCAGCCCCTACTGTAGCATCTTACACGAGCAGTTATTTGGTAAATAATCTGCTGATCAAATGAATGGAGGCGTTTTTGGTTTTGTTTTGGAGACGGATATCACCTTTGATAGCACTGATCTCTAACGGTCCTTTTACTAATCATTCACCACTCTACTTAGTAACAGTTGGTAAGGCTGCGTTGACTCATTCAGAGGTGTTTTTAGGCCTTTGTGTAATCTGACTGTCTCCCATTCACGTGCCGTTCATCCTCCATCCCACAGCCATGTCTCTGTGGTGGTTAGCTGCGGTCGAGTCAGCATCGCACTCCTGCAATGGGAATGAGCCATTGTGATCCATAGAGTTTTCCCAGGCTGATTTTCAGGAATAGATCACCAGGCCTTTCTTCTTAGTCTTTCCTAGTCTGGAAGTTTGGCTGAAACCTGTTCACATCACAGCGACTTGTGAGTGTCCACTAGTGGAGGTAGATTGGTTGGAAGTCAGACCCAACTCACAAAAGGAGAAAACTCTTTCACTAAACCACCACTGTACTCCCTTAACAACTAGCAGTTGTATTTACAAAAAGCAAAACAGATTCCCTTCCCTTAAATGGCTAGTATTACCACAGGGGAGGAGGCAGGAAGCATACAAAGTGGAATGAGAAAAGGAGCCTAAAAGAAGGTCTGCACTTGGACTTGACCTCAAAAGAAGGCAGGTTTTAACAGTGTAGTCAAAGAGGGCATTTCAAAACCAAGGAAATGATGCAGCAATCACGGGTGCAAAGAAGAATAGACAGTTACCCAATAAATACTGACTGTCCATTTAGCTGGGACATGGGAGAAAAGGGCAGAAAATGTATGTGGACAGTTAATTCGGAGAGAGGTTGTGAGAGGTTTTATATAAACAGTCACAGGACCATGAACCAGGGGTCCTCAAACTATGGCCCGCGGGCCCACGGAGGACATTTATCCGGCCCACCGGGTGTTTTTGCTCCGTTTGTTTGTTTACTTCAAAATAAGATATGTGCAGTGTGCATAGGAATTTGTTCATAGTTTTGTTTTTTTTTAAACTATAGTCCGGCCCTCCAACAGGTCTGAGGGACAGTGAACTGGCCCCCTGTTTAAAAAGTTTGAGGACCCCTGCCATGAACTCTGTTTACTAAACAGTAAGGACGGTCCTGTGCTACAAGAGCACAAGTGGAAATAGGAAAATTTTTCTGGATGTGAAGGGGAAAAGTGAGCCCAGGAGTGCTGGTGGCGTAGTGTTTGCACATTCGGCTGCTACCCGCAAGGTCAGCAGTTCAAACCACCAGTCACCGTGCAAGTGAAAGAGGAGACTTCCTACTCTATGGAGAGTTAGTCTCAGAACCGCACAGGGGCAGTTCTGCCCCATTCTAGAGAGGCGCCGTGAGTTGGCTATGATCGACTCAGGCAAGTGAGCCCAGAGGGTGCTAGCTGGCACTGCTCTTAGCAGGAAGCAAGGGGAACAGCAGTTTGGGGCAATGGAGAATGATCCGTGTGGGGTTTACATGATGTTTGCATCACCGTCAGAACAGCCAGCACGTTGATTTTGACTGACCTGGAGTGTAGAGGGTCAGGTCTTTCCTCCTTACTGGCATTTCCTGGACAGGCTTTTCTATCTCCTTCAGCAGGGTGGTTTTCCTGCTCACCTGTGCTGTCTGTTTCAGTATCTCAACCATGTCGTTAGCGGTTCTGCTCCCATTATCCTCGGTACATGTTTTAAAACGTTGAGTCTATTTCAAATGTATTTGTTATTTTAAACCTAAACCAAGGATAAAGCAGGAAAATTCAAAATACCAGGCAATTTGGTTTTATTTTTCCCTAAAGTAATCTGGAGACATGATTCATCCTTACAGTGTGTTCTGGTGGCCACAGGAGTTTGATAGAAAATGGAGAGGTGTACAAGGGTTTTCATTTGAAAGCAGCATTACCACCTGAAAGCACCCTGAACTACTGTCTGTGTGTCTGCTGCCCCTGGCCTTCCCACTGCCCCCTGCGCTCACTCCTTCACCCTTTCTCCAGGCTCATGCTGCCTCTGCTAATCTCCACGCCGCCATGTGGGTGTGTACCATCGAATGGGGTCCAGCTTGGTCCTGTGTGGCAGAGTACCGCTGCCCCATGGAATCTCCTAATCTTTATGAGAACAGATAGGCACGTCTTCTCTCCCAGAGAGCTCCCGGGGGGTTGTGACTGTAGACCACACAGGCAGCAGAACTTCACCATAAATAAAGTCCTCTCCATCCCATCAGCACCGCCCGTTTCACCTGTGAGGGTACAAGCAACGAGGGAGTCTCCACTGTCACTTGAAATAGTTTTGTTGCTTGGGGTTTGGGAGTTTTATTTTTCATTATATGATCTAACGAGGAAATTTAACTAGCCAGGAACCTTTTGTATTTGTTTTGCTTTGTGAGCATGTCATTCTCGTAAGCACTACACATGATAAGAAAACTCATACATATTTCCTTTTTGCCTCCACAGTGAGAAATCCTTACACGGGCCATAAATACCTATGTGGGGCACTGCACACTAGCATTGTGCTATTAGAATGGGTTGAACCAATGCAGAAATTTATGTTAATTAAGGTAAGTCTAAAGCATAGGGCTTTTTTTTTTTAATAGACATGGTAAGTAATCTGGATTTTGTTGTACTTTGTTGTGAATTGGGTGGAGCTGTACAAAAAAAAGCAGATCGGTTTTCCAGGTGACAGTACGTAAGCATTTTGTTTCATCTCATTGATTGCTATCCCCACAATGAAACTTCTTAGCCCACTTTCTCCTTGTGGTTTCTTGTTTCCTTTCCTGACCCTTCTGCACTTCCAGGATAATAATTACTAATAGCAATTGGATTTAAAAATATTAGAAGGGAATGTCCCTCTCTTGGTGGGTACTTAATATTATTCTTGGAACTAAATAAAGTCAATTCCCACTCATAGGACAGATGGGGTGGGCCCTTGGGGTTTCAGATACTGTGGTTCCACAAAGAAGCAGACGGGCTGTTCTGTCACCTGTGGAGTAGCTGATGGGCTTGAACTGCTTGCCTGGTCAGTAGCAGCCGGTACTACTTACCTTACTGCACCACTAGGGCTCCCTGGAAACAAAATGGTAGTGGTCACGTGCTGCTGGGTTTTGCAGTCACCTTCTTAGCCTGTGCACACTGAGGGTGGGCCCCAGGCTGGAGTCATCAGGACGGTCACAGATTTGCCTTCGCCAGTACACTGGTGTGCAGCTCTTCTTGCTGGTGGTTTGTCCATCAGTCACCCGCAAAGGCTGGAATGTGATGTGCTAACAAAACTGTAAGGGGAAAAAGCTAGATTGAAAGTCACTTTTTCTGCCTCTGGGTTCCCAGGTAGCCTAAGGATAGAGTGCGTGAGAGGCCTTCTTCCCGTCACAAGGCTCAGAGCGACAACACCTGCATTGTCCCCCATAGCTTTTCCTCCACCTGAACCCTGTGGAATAAGAAACTGCTACTGAATAAGGCCCAGTGGAGGGGCTGCTTGCTTTTCTACTCCGAGAGAGAGAGAGAGCGAGAGCGTAAATAGATATGCCCACACATATATAGACATAAAAACAACTGAAAGCCGTTAACTTTTCTGATTTGCTGAGAAATATAGAGGAAAGAAACAGAAGCAGTGTTTTCTCTCTGCTTTACTGTTCTCGTCACATTTCAGAGAATTGGTTTTTTGTTTTGTTTTTTGCCTAATTAAAAATATGACAGATTGGCCTTCAAAAAAAAAAATCTTATTCAAGCATATCCTGCAGGCAATGGGGAAGCTCCTAGAAACGAGGTTTGGAAAGATGTGTATGGTGGATGAAATGTATCAGCATGGGATGGAGACACCCCAGCAGCCCTGAGGGAAGCCAGGGAAGCGGGGCCCTTGCCCTCACCAGAGCTTTACATCCAACCATGAGACCACACTGTCTTCTAACACTTTAGAAATAGTGGTTCTGGGAGCTCACTTCGCCTTTTGTTGTCTTGAGGTAAAATAGCTTCTTTCTAGTTACATTAGTTATCTGTGTGTATTTGTAGTGTCTCCGCAGTACATGATTAGTGATGAAGAAGCTTTCTGAAGCATGTTTCCGTCATGATCCCAGTATGACCATCTTTTGTATGTCAGTAGTTCCCATTGGGGTGGTTTGCCCCCAAGATATCTGGCAATGCCCAGAGCCTTTTCTGATTGCCACAGTTGGAGACAGAGTGGTGCTTCTGGCAAGGAGTGGGTAAAAGTCAGATCATCCCTCCACCCACTCCCCACACAAGGAAGATGCAGTGCAGAGTGTTAGCACTGTACATTTCTCGTAGCTGAGAAATCTTGTCGTCCAGACACACAATGGAAATAGCAGAATGACATTCTTGGTAGGTGGAGGACAAAATGACCCGGGTTTTTGCAAAGCAAACCATAGAATGAAGTCAAACAAATGTATATCTTGTTATATGAGAATCACGTCATGAAACAGAAACTAAGAACTCCTCACATAGCACAGTTTACTTCGATTGTGTCATTGATTTACCGTCTATTACAAAGCATGTAATCACAATAAATAAGGACATGGTGAATTTTGTAATCAACCTGGCACAACACAGATGTACGCTGAATTTTATGTGCCCCCAAAACTGATGTCGTTGGAGAGAAGTTTGAAGCAAACCAGGGACCACGAGCAGTGTCTCAGTGCCTGCTGCTCAGGGCATGTGGCGCCGTGGTCAGAGGGGCGTGGCAGTTCCACTTCAGTGGTCCTCCAGCCTGCTCTCCCAGGCACAGGGCCTGGCAGGCAGAGCTATTTAAGCTGGAAATTCTTGTATGAAAACCTGAATTTGACGTGTAAAATATTCTTGGACTTAAGGTGCCAGTGTTTAATGTACCAAAACTAAGGGTTTATGCGAGTGGGAACCCCGACAACTCCCACCCATGGCAAATCGGTTCCTCAACCCAAGCAAGGAAATGTCTCCCAGGAAGGCCTCAGCCAAGGGACCCTCACTACCTACAGAGCCTTAAATATGGGCTCTATAGATAAAAACGGGAGACGCTCCTCCCCACTGCCGTTTCGTAACAGCATCGGGCATGTTCTGGATGAAAGAGGGGCAATTGTTTAAAATTGTTCCAGTGGGTTGCCAGATTAAAAATAGCTTTGTGGCTACTAAAATAGCCTTTTCGAAAATGTACAGAAGTAACAAAATCATACCATTTTATGACTGTCAGAGCCATACTTTTTAAAGAAGTTTTATTTAAAGCTACGAAAGAAGACTTGAGAAAATGTAAAGTCGTGGCTGCTTCTTAGAAATCAGTTTTCCCTGGTTCACAGTTCTATGTACGACTTGAAGGTAAGACCTCACCCGGAGCTTTCTATCAAAGGAATGAAAGGATCATTAAAAAGTATTCTGGGGCAAAAAAGGGACAGTGGTGGAAATTCTCAGTGTCACTCTGGTTTATTTTAACAAGATTTGACAAGTGAAGGAAATGCTAGCTTCGTTTTGGAATAAAATTGACTTACAGTGGGAGTTGTATCAAGAAACGCTTTTAAAGGGCAAAGGATAGTTTTTATCAAAAACTTTAAAACAACCAACCTTAACTATTAAAGCAATCATTTGTTTGTAATGGTTAATACTCCCTCCTGGAGAGATTTAGTGACACTGATACGTTGGCATATTAGAATCTCACCCACTGCTATCCAGTCCATTCCTGCTATGGGGACCCTGTAGGACAGGGTGGACTTGGCCCCTGTGAGTTTCTGAGACTGTAATTCTTTATGGGAGTAGAAAGCCTCGTCTGTCTCCAAGGAGCGACTGGTGGCTTTGAACTGCTGGCCCTGGGGTTAGCAGCCTGCTTCTGTATTAAAAATGAACATTAAAAGAACTTTTTTGGTTAAGAACCTCTGGCACTTCAGAATTCTCCATGACACCCCC